GAAATCTATGCCACTATTGTATACACTATCCGGGGGTGTCCGTGTGCAAAGATTGTTTGTCATCATCATCTTTACCACGAAAGAGGACGGCCAATGAGAACGGTTGGTGTAATTTCATGTCTTTGACTAGCCATTGGTTGAACGATTTTAATATAAAAAAAAAAATCAAACTTTTTAAAAATTTTACCTATAAATTGAAGGGTACATGAGTTGGGTGGATGCAAAATTCTATAATATCAATTTTCTTGTAATTTTTCTAATATATTTCTAGTTTCTCAATAAAATTCGGCTGTTAAAAATAGATTTGTTACGTATTATTTTTATTGAACTAAGATGTTGTAACAATTCAGTGCCTTATAACATAAACTGTAAAGTAATATATAAAAAAACAGTATCCAACAAATCAAATCTACCATATATCCAACCAACATATCAACCCTACAATATATCCAACAAACAATATTATGAGTCTTCCATTAATGTGGACATAATATATAAATTTTGATATCATTTATATCATCAACAATTTGCATGTGGTCTTCCCTCTCAAATGGTGGGCCATTTCTCCTCTATGATTGGCATGTTGCAGGTTGCTTAAATACAACTAACAAAACTAACAAACAGAATAAAAAAAAAAAAAAGTCCAAAACCAATCCATTGACAATGTTTATGTGAATAGGCACAAATTCAATGCAACAAATAGGAAGTTATGCAAAATAGTCTGCGCATTTTTAATGTTAATAAGGATTAACAAAGACAAAAATCGAATGCAATAAATAAGAAATTGAGGAAAATAATCTGCTACAATTTTAATATAATTAAGAAAAACACAAGCCGCAACTAATTACTTAGTTGTCTAAAATGTCAAAAAAAAGGATAAACCTAAGTAACAAAGCTAAGGTCTTTGGGTATATATATATATATATATATATATATATAGATATATATATATATATATAGTATATATATATATATATATATTATATATATATATATATATCTATATATATATATATATATATATAATATCTTGAGAACTCGTCGTGGCCGGGTGGCATCCAAGCCAAGATCATGTACACCACCTTGGTGGGGGTGTCGTTGTGCAACGGTTGTTTGTCTGACTGTGTTTACCGCGAAAGGGAATGGC